GAGAGAGAGAGAGAGAGTATATACATAGACATATATATATGTATATATACTATATATATAGTCATAGACACATGTCATATGTTTATGTATGTCTATGTATATACCATATATATACAGTTTGAAGTTCAAAAAATATCGATAGCAAAATAAATGGAAACAGCTGAGCCCTGCACACAACATCGCAAAAATTTCTGACACAACTTGAGATAATATTTATACCACTATGAAAACCTAAGCACAGGGCTCCAGAGTCGTATATTTCCTTCTGGGTACACATTCACTTTAAAAAAGCCTACATACCCTAAAAAGTCACCAGATCCCGTCTGATCTCGGAAGCTAAGTAGGGTCAGCCCTGGGTAGTACTTGGATGGGAGACCGCCAACGAATCCCAGGTGCTGTAAGCTATACTTCAGAGGAAGGGACTGGCAAAACCACCTCTGACTATTCCTTGCCTAAGAAAACTCTATGAAACAAGCGATTTGAAGGCTCATACGTAGACATGCAATGCCAAAAGAGATTTCAGATATTTCAAAACGAAAAAAGTATATGTTCTTCAATATTCTAATATTGCTACCATTAAAATCTATGCATACATAATAATGTACTTCGGTACGTACTGACCAAGAGTCAGGCAGTTTTTTATGGGGAAAGTGATACATTTTGATCAATTCTGCTGACAGTCCTTCCTTTTTTTTATTTTTTGGAAGAACTTAAATATCTTTGGACAAGAAAAAAAGTAAATTTTATTGATATTTAAGGTGTTGTTTGCTGAAGGTGTTAATTTGTGAAATATAAAATCAAGATTGACATATCTTGCAATAAATCACAGAATTAGATCTTTAACATGTTTCTTGAAGATAAATTATTCCTAAAAACACACCCGATATTAAGACACCCATGCAAGTATAGTACAGTACAAAACACACTGCAGAAATAACCCGGTTTGAGACCGCTTTTAACTGCCCTGGCTCAGTGCTAGGGAATCCCGGGAATTGTAGTTTATTGCGGCACCAGGGCTCTCTGACAGAGAAGGGTGAATATCTCACAAGACTACAGTTCCCAGAATTCCCTAGCATTGAGCCAGGGCAATTAAAGCGGTCTCAAACTGGATTATTTCTGCAGTGTGTAAATTTGCTTGGTTTTTAAAAGGGGGATCGGCTCGCAGGTTACGTGACTTGACAGGGAAATGTGCTTATTATGCAAAAATGATGGCTCGTACAGCAAAAAAACACACAAAACATTTAAGTGTTGTAAAAAACGAGTCTTGTAGACATCTTACAGAAAATGTTGTTTCATATATATTAACAACATATACCTTTAAATGAAAAGCAATCTGCTTTAGAGGTTTGTTGTTCGTGCGTCTTCAAATTGAAAACCCTATCATGGGGTTTTCTTGGCAAGATTTGTTCAGAGAGAGAGTCTAGCATTGCCTTCCCCTGAGGCTGAGAGAGTGTGACTTACCCAAGGTCACCCAGTGGGTTTCCATGGCTGAGCGGGGATTTGAACCTTGGTCTTAACAAGACCGACACTCAAACCACTACTACCCCACGCTGGCTTTATTTAAGGGTACCAGAGAGATTAAAAACAGTACATAAATTTGGATGGATTTGTACTATACAGTAATTTATAGAAAACCGTCGTTTTAATTTCTCTGGATGCAGATTTTCCCAATTTATCAGATACAGAGCCAAAGCCCTACCTTGAATAATAATAAAAATTGTTGTTGTTGTGTGCCTTAGAGTCGCTCTCGCTCCTGACTAATGGGGACCATATCCTGGAGTTTTCTTGGCATGATTTGTTCAGAGGAGGTTTGCCATTGCCTTCCCCCGAGGCTGAGAGGGTGTGACTTGCCCAAGGTCACCCAAGAAGCTTCCATGGCCGAGCAGGGATTCCAACCCCGATCTCCAGAGTCTTAGTCCAACGCTCAAACCACTACATCACACTGTCTCTCTAGTACTATCCCTTTCGGGAAAGGTAGGGCCTTTGACTGCATACTATAGACCAGGGGTAGGCAACCTTTCCCCTTTAAGGGCCGAGG